TGTGATCAATGGTGGGCGAAGGGACAGAATCAGAAGAGGACTCAACAGGAACCGTCGGTTCAGGATGTGCAGGTGGAGCCACTCCAGAAGACGGAGGCATGACAGGCGTATCAATGAGCTGTGAGTCAGGACAAGTATCTGGAAAGAGATCTGAAGTAGTGGACATGAAGAAAGGGGACGACGAATCAAAGGGAATGTGAAATTTAGACAAGGAAGAAAAAGTAGTATGCTCCCAAAAAGTAACATGACGCGAAATACGTAACCGATTAGCAATAGGATCCCAACACCTAAACCCTTTGTGTTCTACCCCATAACCCAAAAAACAACACAGACGAGCCCGAGGTTTTAATTTAGTGCGCTCATGAGATGGGAGAAGAACAAAGCAAACACAACCAAAATGGTGTAACTGAGTATAATCAGGTGACTGACCGTACAACTTCTCAGAAGGACTGATATCTCGAAGAACTGAAGAGGGTAATCGATTGATAGCATAAATAGCAGTCAGGGCTGCCTCATCCCAAAAACGATCAGGACACTGAGCAGAAAGGAGAAGAGCACGAATAGTATCAAGAATATGACGATGCTTACGTTCAGCTCGTCCATTTTGTTGAGAAGTATAAGGACATGAACGTTGAACTACTGTGCCCTGATCAAAAAGAAATTGTAAAAAGGTAGAATCTTTGTACTCAAGGGCATTGTCAGTACGTAATACTTTTATAGGACAAGAAAATTGAGTGTGAATCATTCTAGCAAATTGAACATATATACTGGGCAACTCAGAACGATGCTTGAGAAAATAGATCCAAGTAAAGCGAGAAAAATCATCAACAAAAATAACAAAGTAACGAAAATCATTCATAGAAGCAACAAGAGAAGGACCCCAAATATCAGAATGTACCAAACCAAAAGGTTTATCAGCAGTTGACAAATTCTCAGAAAAAGAAAGAGCCGAGTGTTTCCCAAGCTTACAATGAAGACAACTAAAAGACTCAAAATGACCCGGACCTAAAAGACCTTTATTATATAAGGAACGAACTTTATTTGAAGACGCATGCCCAAGGCGAAGATGCCACTGAAAGCTGGACTTATTATAAATGACCGGAGCAGAAAAGGAGGAAAAACGAGGGATATGAAGAGACTCAAGCTCAAATAACCGACCCATCTTGCGACCCGTCCCTAGAAGCCGACCCGTCTGTGTATCCTGAACCTGAACACCAGAAGAGGAAAATATAACATTAAGACCTTGTTCAACCAATTGACCAACAGAAATAAGATTCAAGGCCAAGTCAGGAATGCAGTACGTGTCGGGAAGGTGTAAAGAGGGGGAAGAAACCAAACCAGTGTGAGTAATATTCATATGAGTACCATTGGCAGTATGTATAGGGGGTAAAAAAGTTACGGGAGACGAGGAAGACAAAAATTGTGGACTAGAGGTCATGTGATTGCAACAACCAGAATCAAAGTACCAATGAGCGTTACCTGCAGTAGTAGACATAGCATAATTGGAATGGATAACCTGTTTGAGAATAGCTTCAATATCTTGAAGAGAGTAAGACGAGTGCTGAGGCTCATTAGTGACAGCCGTTGTAACAAATAAGGGGGTCGATGAAGAAGACCCACGAGACCCTCGATATCGAGAAGAAGAACCTTCCGAACGTTGTGACTTGGCTGGGCAATTCAGAGCAATATGACCCCGAGCACGGCAGATGTGGCACTCCACTTTAGGACAAGTGGCAAAAGAGTGACCAGAGCTCTTGCAACGCCTACAAGAAACAGAGAATGGTGGCCGAGGCTGATGTGATGTAGCGGAAGCAGAAGTAG